AGAAAACATAGGAAGTGTTGAAGGACTAGCTACAACTTGTGTAGTAGCCTTGAGACAGAGAGAACAGGAAAAAAACACACACACAAAAACACAAATATATGAATTAAACATTTAAACAAGAACCACATGGACACTTAAAGTGAAAGGAACATGAGTTTTGTAAGTTAAAATGTAGAATGAAGTGATCCCAAAAGAAGTCAGTAATTTGGTCTTTTATATGATTCGAGGAAGCAGAGAGGTCAATGAATGGTAAACTATTCCATATACGGACGATCCTATTAAAGTAGAAATGGTGACTCTTGGAAGTGCGGTTGTATTTATGCTGGAGTTTGTTTTGAGCTGAGGATCTAGTAGAGGATTTAATAAAAGAGACATAATCCAGGACTGACATATTATCAGAGGGGTGTTTGATAGAGTTAACAAAGTACATGACATCATTTAGCTCCAGCCAATACATGAGAGGAAGCAACTTAAGTTAGATCAACCTGTCTTTGTAGCTTGAAGAGTAGTTGCCTAAAATATGTTTAGTGGCATGGCATTAAACTCTCTCTAGGGCAATGATATCCTTTTTCAGATTTGGACGCCAAACCTGAGAACAATATAGCATTTTGGACCGCACTAGAGAAATGTACAGTCTCCTCTTAACTTCAATGCTATCTGTGGAGAAAGATCTCTTAATTAAATAAAGAGTTTTGTACGCTTTAGAGCATATATGACTATAATGGTCAGACCAAGATAGGTCACCTCTAACTATCACCCCAAGATCTTTGTGAGATTCTGGCACAGATACTTCAGAACCATCAATGGAGTAGAGTGGACGACTTGAACTAGAGAGTGAGAACCGAATTGTCACACATTTCTTAGAGTTCAGAAAAAGTGAGTTCCTTTTAGACCATTCAACCAAAGAGTCAATATCTTCCTGCAAACAGTGAGATAAGTGGGAGGTATTTTGAAGTTTTGAATTGTCAGCAAATAAAAACAAGTGAGAGGAATCAATAACCTCTGGAATATCATTGACAAAGATGAGAAAAAGTAGGGGCCCCAGAATGCTTCCTTGAGGGATTCCTGACTTGACTGGTAGCATTTGTGAAGAGCATCCTTCAATATCTACAAAATGCATTCTCTGAGATAAGTAGTTCCTAAACCAGCACCATAGAGGACCAGTGATGCCCAGTGACCATAGTTTATACAGTAGAAGGGAGTGTGGGACAGAGTCGAATGCCTTCCTAAAATCAAAGTAAACCTGATCAGTCAATTTACCACTCTCACAATTTTTCATTATGTTGTTGAAGGATATGAGGAGCTGAGATACAGCTGAACGGTTTTTGAGAAAGCCAAATTGGTGCTGGCAGAGCAGACCCTTCAGGAAAGGAATTATCTTGGCATAGATGATTGATTCCAAAACTTTGGATAGAATACAGAGGAGAGATATTGGACGGTAGTTTTCTACACATTGGTTATCTCCTGCTTTGAAGACAGGTGTTATCTTATGCACTTTCCATTCAGATGGTACACACCCGTACATAAGGGATTCACGAAATAGTGTGGTAGAGATCTTAACAATGGAGCTGGCACATAATTTAAGAAGATGAGGGTTAATTTGATCACAACCAAATGCTTTGTCAGGTTTTAGAGATGACAAGGCCAAGTACACATCTTCTGAGGAAATATCAATTGAAGAGAGTTGAGCAGAGGGAGTAGGTAGTTGACTGATAGGAGGTAAAACAAATGTGGAAGTAGTGAAAACAGTCCATTGATTGGATGTAGCTAGTCAACTACTGAAGACCCTTTGAGACTTCCCTTGGAATCCTTTGAACCAAATACATACCAGGGTATATCCCTGTTTTACTAGAAAAAAACATGAGTTAACAATGTGAATTCTACTAGGATCAAAAATCAACTGATTTTTTTCTCGATATCCAACCACAGTTTAACTACCTCTTGTATGTCCTCTATCAAACTAAAAAATTAAATAAAATTGCATCACTAGATCTAGTTTGGATTTTTACAAATTTTTGAAGCTGAACTGATTGCTTGGTCTTGTTGCATGCAGCAGCCTTTGAGTATCAGGGATGACAAAAATGAGTGTGATCATAATGCAGTAGATGATCTGGAATGTGTGAATTCAGCTTGGAATGAGTTAGTATACTGTTTAATGTAACAACTGAATAAACTAAGGTAGATACAACTCTATAGACGTGCATGATTAATATAAAAAATTATGGTACTATATGTACGGAAAGTTTAGTCCAGCTAAATCTAAATCGCTCTGTTATACAAGTTATTTTAACCCATGATAATTCCTAGTCAGGTGGGCCTGACCATAGATAATAGAGTAAATGAAAGGTAGCCATGATATAATCATGGCTACCTTTTTTTCACTTACTCTAATATCTATGGCCTGACT